AAAGGGTTTAAAATTATCTTTCTTTATATTTTATGATTAGAAATTTAATTGTAGTACCTGTAGAACCTTATTGATTCATACGGTAATGCAATTGCTCTAAGTATTTGCGAAGATTCTGAAATCTCACATGATAGAAGAGTTTGGCAATTCAATTTATTTATTTATATTCTTATGTACATTTTAAGTATCAAAAATATATTTTAAGTATGTATATACATGTTTTGAAGAATTTTAATCATCATACCTGCAAAGCCTTATTGACTTATACGGTAATATGATTATCCTAAATATCTACGGAGATTCTAAAATCTCACACGAGACAGGAATTAAATTTAATTAATTGATTTAATTAATTATATAATATATATGTATATATATTTTAAAAACTAAATCGTTATATCCGCAGAGTCTTATTGACTCACACGATAATACAATGATCTTAGAAGCCTACGGAGATTCAAAAATTTCACGTGGCTAAAAGATATAATTGGTAAATATGGTTACAATTTAAATACATTTAATTTGGTTAATTAAGTTTCTTAAATTGTATATTATATGATTATTTGCAAAAATTACTTATTTATTACAAAAATTGAAAATCACTATATCTACGAGGACTTACTGTCCCACATAATAATGTGACTAATTTAAGTTCCTACGAAGATTCTTAAAATCTCACATGGAACTTAAATATTTAGTATAAAGAAAGAGTTAATTTTAATAATGGGCCTTTAGAACCCATATAAGTATCTGCAAAATTGATCCCCATACTTGTAAAATCTTATTGATCTTTATGGTATGAGATCATTTTAAATTCCTGTAAAAATTCTCAAAATCTCCTGTTTTAAGTTTTAAAAAAAAATATATATGTGCTTAGCATATGAACATAAAAATAAATACGTATATTCGAGACTTATTCACCTGGATATAAAATTCATAGAAGCAATTAATAAGGTGTGAACTAACCTTACACACGCTCCCGCGATGCCCGTAACTGAGAAAGGAAAAGGAGATGAAGACACAGAGGAGGATGAAGTGCACCGTCTGTGATGGCAGTAGCCCCTGCAAACTTACACGCTCCCGCGATGCCCGTAACTGAGAAAGGAAGAGGAGATGAAGACACAGAGGAGGACGAAGTGCACCGTCAGTGATGGCAGTAGCCCCTGCAAACTTCCACACTTTCTCTCTCTCTCCAGTTGCTCTGTTATTCTTTTCGTCTCCAGTCTTCGCTCGTCCTCGTGCTCTCTCTCAGTTCTCCTATGCTCTGTTTTTACTTCTGATCTCCTTCTTCCAGTTTTTCTCGCCTCGTTTCTCCATTTTTCCTCTCCTTTTCTGCTGCTTCTTCTCTGTTCTATTTTCTTTCTCTCTTCTCTTCCTCTCCCGGACTCTCTCCTCTGTCTCTGTTTTTTGTTTTCAGTCCTCTCGGTCTTTCTTTTTCTGTTTCACCTCCTCCGTCTCCTCCTCTTTTCTCCCAGCCCTGTCACTCCTTATATAGAGGATGGAAGAGCTGAATGATTACTACCTTTCTCTGCTTCTTCCTTTTCCCTTCTCTTCCGCTGCATTTTCTGCGTGCGCCGAAAGCTCTCTGCTCTGTTTTCATTTCTGCATGGCTCTTCTTTTTCTTTGCGTGTGGGTGCTGTCTTTCTGCTTCCCTTTTTCTTCTGTCGTGTCCATGCCTCTACTTTTTCTGTGTGTGTTTCGTATGTGTTGGTGCTGTGTTTTTCTTTCTCCTTTCTCGTGTACGTGCATGTTTCTATTTCCTTTCATTGTGCGTCTCTGCTTGTTTTTTCTGTGTGTGTTCTCTGTGTAGCTGTGGCTGTGCGTTGACGTGTTCTGGTTTCTCTGCATGGCTGAAAGTTCCTTTTTTCTACGTCTGCTCGTGCGTTTTTCCGGCGTTCTCTTCGTGCATGCGTGGCTGACTGTTCTCTCTCTCGTTTTCCTTCTTTTTGTCTGTTTCATGTCTGCTGTGTTTTTGTTGCTGAAGCTGGGCAGTTCAAATTGGCATGCACGTGATACTACCTCTTTATTTTATTTTATTTAATTATTCAATTTCATAGAATATTTTTTTAATTAATTTTCTTTTAAGAGAAGGGTTATCTAAGGTAAAAGGAGAGAGGATTTTTTTGTTAGATGATGATGATGATGATTATTATTATTATTTTCTTGAAAATATAATCCTAAAAAGGATTAAAATTTTTTGTATTTTTATATATTTTTGGTTATTTATTATTATTTTTAAAAAAAATGCCCGGACAAAATACGGTGTTCACAGTTGCCCCTCTTTACTTGTTTCTTATGTAAGTATATGAAAAAGTGTGTTTTTGAATTCTTACATAAGTGACAAGTAAAGATAGAACATGTATTTTGGTCGGCCATGCAATACCTATGAAAAGACCTAATTGCCCCTGACACGACAAGATATGATTAAATGCGAGACTATTGCATAACAAACACAGTGACATGATTTTTGATTTTTAGCAATGTGATGTGAATGAAAATAATCAAATGACAACAATCTAAACAAAATATATGTTGACTAGATGCCCCCTCTTCATTTGATTTCTAAGTGAGAATTTCATGAGATGATATTCTTATCTTAGAAATGAATGAAGAGAGAAACATGTATTTTGTTAGGAGGGGCAAGACTCTTAGGTATCTACAACCAAACAAAACAAAACAAAATAAAAGAAAGGGTTTAAAATGAAATGTGATTTACGAACTAAACAAAACAAAACCTCAATGGAGATGAATTGCCTATGTTCCAAAGGACCAGGTGGATGCCTGCTTTTACAAGGCTCGGAGGATGCCTGCCGTGACAGGGCTTTAAAGAATTGTGCCAGCCGATACTGGGCTTTGTGGTGCCTGCCGTGACAGGGCTTTTAAAGAATTGTGCCAGCCAATACTGGGCTTTGTGGTGCCTGCCGTGACAGGGCTTTGGGGGCCTGCCGTTACAGGGCTTTAAGGAATCATGCCAGCCGGTACTGGGCTTTGAGTGCCTGCCGTAACAGGGCTTTGGGGGCCTGCCGTTACAGGGCTTTAAGGAATTGTGCCAGCCGGGACTGGGCTTTAGGGTGCCTGCCGTAACAGGGCTTTGGGGTGCCTACCGTTACAGGGCTTTAAGGAATCGTGCCAGCCGGTACTGGGCTTTGAGTGCCTGCCGTAACAGGGCTTTGGGGGCCTGCCGTTACAGGGCTTTAAGGAATCGTGCCAACCGGTACTGGGCTTTGAGTGCCTGCCGTAACAGGGCTTTGGGGGCCTGCCGTTACAGGGCTTTAAGGAATCGTGCCAGCCGGTACTGGGCTTTGAGTGCCTGCCGTAACAGGGCTTTGGGGGCCTGCCGTTACAGGGCTTTAAGGAATCGTGCCAGCCGGTACTGGGCTTTGAGGGCCTGCCGTAACAGGGCTTTAGGGGTGCCTGCCGTTACAGGGCTTTAAAGAATCGTGCCAGCCGGGACTGGGCTTTAGGGTGCCTGCCGTAACAGGGCTTTGGGGTGCCTGCCGTTACAGGGCTTTAAAGAATCATGCCAGCCGGTACTGGGCTTTGGGGTGCCTGCCGTAACAGGGCTTTGGGGTGCCTGCCGTTACAGGGCTTTAAAGAATCATGCCAGCCGGTACTGGGCTTTGGGGTGCCTGCCGTAACAGGGCTTTGGGGTGCCTGCCGTTACAGGGCTTTGGGGGCCTGCCGTTACAGGGCTTTAAGGAATCGTGCCAGCCGGTACTGGGCTTTGAGTGTGAGAATAGGTTTCATCTCACGGGGAAAATATGAGAAACTCAAAGGTGAGTTTTGTTAATTCTTCGCTTACTTCCTTAGGTTTTGCAAGTTTTTAGTTTGCCCTAATCTAAATAGGGCATACTCTCTGTAGCAATGCATGCAATGGGGTGATATGCAATGCATGATTTTTTATTTTCCCCAATCTAAGTGTGGCGTGTTTCTACGACAAGGCATGCAATGTGGTAATGTGCCATGTATGATGTTTATAGGCGCTAAATATACATTGGATGGATGATTTGCAATGTAAAGGGTAAGACGTGCTTATTTGCCCCAATGCAAATGTATGAATAATGCAAATGTATTGCAAAAATTTTATTGGAAAGCTTAATGTTGAAAACTATCTTAGTATTTATCCCCCTTTTTTTGAAAATTTTGTGCACATTGAATAAATCATTTCGAACATAAGGTAATACCTCCAAGTCTGTTATTTAACCTTTATTCATTAATAGGTGTAGTATCACAGTATGCCGTTGCCCCTCTTTAGAAAATTCCAATGACCAAATTCTTGTCACTTGATCTTGTCTTCAAATTGATGAGATTAACTATTATAACCAAACACTAATAGTAGACATGCTCTCATTATCATTTTACACCTACGTAATGATCTTGATACCTCAAGGGCGAAAGGCGAGAATAAAGATACCAGCATTCTACGTCAAGTAAATGCGTCAATGAATATTGTTCCTTGAATGCGAACCTGCTGTAATATATGAGATTTGTATCCAAATATGATAACACGAAACGAGAAGAAAGATGGTCTCAAAGGAGCAAGGGCGGAAAAAATTCATTCACTGAGGCTAAAGTTCATAGAGAAATGGGAATATCTTGGTTTATGAGTACAAATGGCCAAAGCGCGAATGGGATATATGGATTTACTTTATCACATCTCTTCCTTTAGCTTTTCAAAACCCCAACAGGTGTTTCACTGAGCTGCTATTGATATGCATAATATGAGAGACGATGGAGATAACTTTCCCAAACATAATTAACTTTTGATGCCTTCCTTTTCTTCTCCTAAGACATCCTTTTGTCTTGGCGAACTCTTCTTCTTCTTATCATGACTTTGCCCCCCTTTTTTTAGCTCTAACTTTTGCTTAGATTACCTTTACAGGTTTTTTAACCTAACGAGCTATTCTTTCCTTTTCATTTTCTATTAGCTCTAACTTTTGCCTAGGTTGCCTTTACAGGTTTTCAACCTAACGAGCGCTTCATTCTTTTTCATTTTCTGTTTAAGCAAAGTAACGCTTGACAGCATCTGCATTAATGGGCTTTGCTAACTCTTGACCGTCCATGTCAGCTAGGATCAGTGCTCCTCCAGAAAAAGCATGTTTGACAACATAAGGTCCCTCATAGGTCGGAGCCCATTTGCCTCTATTATCTTCTTGGTTAGGCAATATTTTCTTGAGTACAAGATCCCCAGCACTGAATTCCCGTGGGCGAAGTTTTTTATCAAAAGCTCTTGCCATTCTCTTTTGGTACAATTGTCCATGACACATTGCAATGAGCCTTTTCTCTTCAATCATGTTAAGTTGCTCAAATCGGGTTCGTATCCATTCATTTTCTTCTAAATCTACCTCTGCCAATACTCTTAAAGATGGTATTTCTATCTCAATGGGTGTAACAGCTTCCATTCCATAAACAAGGGAGTATGGGGTCACCCCTATGGATGTGCGTGCAGTAGTACGATAACCATGTAAAGCATAGGGAAGCATCTCATGCCAATCCTTATAAGTTACTGTCATTTTTCCAATGATCTTCTTAATATTTTTATTGGCTGCTTCAACTGCTCCATTCATTTGAGGTCTATACGGGGCTGAATTATGATGCTTGATTTGGAACTTCTCGCAAAAGTTCCTGACTTCCGTTCCATTGAGATTGGGACCATTATCAGTAATGATCCTTTCAGGAATCCCATATCGGCATAAAATATTTGTCTTCATGAATTTAAGGAACGTCTTTTGCGTGATGCTAGCAAATGAATTTGCTTCTACCCATTTTGTGAAATAGTCAATCGCGACAAGGATGAAGCGATGTCCATTCGAAGCTTTTGGGTTAATTGGGCCAATAATGTCAATGCCCCACATTGAGAATGGCCAGGGTGATACCAAATTATATAATGGGATTGGAGGAGCATTTATCCTATTAGCATAGATCTGACATTTATGGCATTTCTTGACATGCTCAAAGCAATCTTTCTCTATTGTTAGCCAGAAGTAGCCATACCTTTGAATCTGTTTGGCCATAGTGTGACCATTCGCATGCGTGCCACATATGCCCTCATGTACCTCAACCATGATTTTCTTTGCTTCTTCTGAACTCACACAGCGAAGTAAAGTACCATCATAACCCCTCTTGTATAGAACATCTTGACTGATAAAGAATGTCATAGCCAAACGACGAAGGGTTTTCTTTTCATTCTCAGTCATTCCAGCTGGGTATGATCTCTTAGTGATATAATCCTTAATATCCTGGAACCAAGGATATTCTTCTCGATCTTCTTCAACATTCAGACAGTACGCTGGAAAGCTTCTAGCTTCCACTTGGATGGGTTGGATATGGACTCCACAATCAAGTTGGATCATTGCTGCTAAAGTGGCTAAAGCATCAGCGAAACGGTTTTTATCTCTAGTCAAGTGATGAAAGCTAGCAACCTTAAATTGCTTAATCAAATCTGTTAGGAGTTCTTGATAGGGAATCAATTTTACATCCTTTGTTCTCCATTCTCCTGTTACTTGATGAATAATGAGAGCTGAATCACCAAATACCTTCAAACACCGTATACCAAGGGTAATAGCTGCTCGAAGACCATTAACACAAGCTTCATATTCTGCTATGTTGTTAGTACAATCAAATTCTAATTTGATGGCCACTGGAAATTGTTTTCCTTCGGGTGAAACGATCACCGCTCCTACCCCATTTCCATGCATGTTGGCGGCTCCATCAAAATACATTTCCCATTCTCGCTCTTCATTGTTTCCTTCACCACAACCTTCTTCTGTAGTGCATATGACTTCATCAGGAAATTGAAAATCTAATGGTTGGTCATCCCCTAAAGGATTATCGGCCAAGTGATCTGCTATTGCACTACCTTTGACTGACTTTTGCATCACATGCTTTATATCATATTCTGATAGTACAACTTGCCATTTTAGTACTCTACCAGTAATGTGCGGGCTCTCAAAGATGTATTTAAGTGGGTCCACTCGTGAGATTAGCCAGGTAGTGTAGTAAAGCATGTATTGCCTTAGCCTTCTAGTTGCCCATACTAGTCCACAACAAGTTCGCTCAATCACCGGATAACGAGCTTCACACTCATTAAACTTCTTGCTCAAGAAATAAATCGCTCTTTCCTTCTTTCCAGAATCATCAAGTTGACCTAGCATTGCTCCCATTGAGCGAGGTAAAGTTGTTAGGTAAAGGATTAGTGGACGATCTGGTGATGGAGGTACCAAAATCGGGGGATTTAACAAATAATCTTTAATTTTATCAAAGGCCTTTTGACAATCATCATCCCATGTCCCCTTGCAATTTTTCTTTAACAGTTTAAACATTGGTTCGCAAGTGGCTGTTAGATTGGCAATGAATCTAGCAATGTAATTCAATCGTCCCAAGAAACTTCTAACTTCTTTCTCTGTTTGGGGAGATGGCATTTCTCGAATTGCTCTCACTTTATCTGGATCTACTTCTATCCCTTTACGACTCACAATGAATCCCAATAACTTCCCAGAAAGAGCTCCAAAAATGCATTTGTTAGGATTCAATCTTAGCCGATATTCGCGTAATCTCCCAAATAGCTTTCTAAGGACTCCAACATGACTCTTATTCTCCGCTGATTTAGCTACCATATCATCTACATATACTTCAATTTCTTTATGCATCATGTCATGGAATAGTGCTACCATAGCTCGTTGATAAGTTGCCCCAGCATTTTTCAAACCAAAAGGCATTACCCGATAACAATAAGTTCCCCATTGGGTTGTAAAGGTTGTTTTCTCTTTATCCTTTTCATGCATAGGGATTTGATTGTACCCTGAATAACCATCCATAAAGGAATAGCGATAGCTTCGAGCAGTATTATCGACCAATACATCAATGTGGGGTAATGGAAAGTCATCTTTCGGACTCGCATTATTTAAATTACGATAATCAACACACATTCGAATCCGACCATCTTTTTTAGGAACAGGAACAATATTTGCCACCCATTGTGGGTAAGTTACTACCTCCAAAAATCCTGCTTCTAACTGCTTTATTACTTCTTCTTTTATCTGCAAGGACACCCCCGTGTTCATTCTCCTTAACTTTTGTTTCTTAGGCTCGACCTTGGGAAGTAATGGTATTTTATGAGAAGCAATGCTTGGGTCTAGCCCAGGCATGTCTTTATATGACCATGCAAACACATCTATGTATTCTTTGAACAACTCAATCATTTGTTCCCTTTCAGGATTATCTACTATTTTGAGCATTCTTTGATCCTCCTCGGTTCCCATATTAACCATCTCAATCACTTCTTCATGTGGGCATATTCCCTTATCACTCAATTCAAGCATCTTTGAAAAAGTTTGGATTATGTCTTCATCATCAGACTCACAATCATGCATATCAGTGGCAACGAATGAATCATCTTCACAGGGTTTATTAATCTCTGGGTGGGAGATGGAATCAGAAGAAACAAAATCCCTGGATAATGAATATGGAACGAGATGAAATAAGGAACAGGAATGAAACGGAGAAAGATGTATTGAAGTAGATAGGGTGGAATAAAGAAATAGACATGAATGCAATTGAAATTCATTTTCATGAATTATGTATATCAAAAGTTTGCATTAGTGAATACCCAAGATCTATTACCTAAACCTGGGCTCAAAAGTGGATAAAATAGGAACAACATAATTGAAACAATTACTCTAAGCTAATGACATCATTGGCCTCTTCAAACTCCCAATTCGCCAGAACTTTGTTGGAATCATCGACTGCAATTGAGGCACTTGTTCTGCATGGTACATCTTCATTAAAAGAGATCACTGAGATAGCTGGTTTATATATCACCTCGGACGGGCCTGGGAAGGATTCTTTAATGTGTGGAATCTCCAATTTACTGGCCTTTTTGCCATTTGCCAAACTTGCTTTGTCTTTCATCTGGTCTTCCAGGGTAGGCTCATACCCTAACCCTTGGCGATTACAATTATCCAAAACCTTAATTGGACACGTAATTCCTTGTAAATGAGAGCCTAAACCTTTCCCTGGCATAAACCCACTCTTCGCCATGATTTTAGCCACGACGGAATTGATGTTGTGAGTACTACCGCAAATACCCTCGACCTCTAGGCTTTGAAAGGAAACTCCATAATCTTTCTCTGCAGCCTCAATATAAGGGAGTGAGCTTGGTTTGCTCACCATGATTTCCTCCTCTCCTTTAACTGCTATAATTCTCCCATCACTGATGAACTTAACCTTTTGATGTAAGGTAGAAGGAACAGCCCTAGCAGAATGAATCCATGGCCTTCCTAGCAGCATTGTGTAACTTGGGTCTATGTTCATGAGTTGGAAATCCACCTTAAACCTGCTCGGCCCTATCTCCAGGGAGAGACAAATGGATCCTAATACTTCCCGTCTTGATCCATCGAATGCTCTTACCACAATATTACTTTTATGTACACCTGAAGCTTCTAGTGATAATGATTCAAATGTGGAGAGCGGCAAGACATTTAACGCTGATCCTCCATCAATTAATACTCTTGCGATTATGAACCCTTCACATTTCAAAGTGATGTGCAAAGCCTTGGCTTGGTGAACAGCGGTTTCTGTAACTTCCTCTTCCGAAAAGGAAATGGTAGAGGAGGCTTTTACAACATTCATTACACTTGCCACCTTCTCAGGGGTTATATTAGGCTGCACAAAAGCTTGATTCAACACTTCCTGCAATGCTTGACGATGCGCTTCGGAACTTAAAATCAAAGAAAGTATGGAGATACGCGCTGGAGTTTTCTTCAATTGGTCCACAATGCTGTAATCACTTTGCTTCATAATCGATAAAAACTCATCTTCTAATTTTTCCATTTCTTTAGGATTGTCTTCCTTTGGCCTATTAATACTTGCATTTTTCTCTTTTACCATTTTCCTAATGTAAGATGGTAAGTATGGTTTTCCACTTCGAGTAACACCCCCTTGGTTGGCCATTTCATTGCTTGTCCCGGCAATCAACGTTGGGTTTTTGTGGTTCTCCACAATGCTTTGATATTTCCACGGGACTGCTCGATCACTTTCATAGGGAAAGGGATGAGGCGTGCTTATGGTCAATGTTGGTTGTCTTACGTGAGGTACAAGATCTGCAGAGGCTTTGTTTATCACAAAAGAGACTGCCTGAACCCGTTTTTTGGGCTCAAATTTTTAATGACAAGCTCAACATGTTTTTTTTTCTACCATGCACACTTTGGCGTCTCCCCTCTTTACAGACACGATCCCTAACGCCATCATTTTTCTAACAGCTCCTTTAAACTGTTCACAACTTTCTATGTCATGGCCTATTTTCTCTTGATGATATTCACAGTATCCAGGCATTTGATCACTGATATTATTCGTGAGGAGCATTTCTCGCATATAGCCATACTCCTTTAAATGAGCATAAAGCTCATTCATAGGCATCCTGATTCTTGCGGAGCTTTTGAAGCACGCATCTTCTTCTTCAATAGCGTTGACTCGTTTTTCGTGATTTGGGAGTGGATCAGTAGTAAGGGTAGAGCTTCCCTCTTCTTTAAGCTGGATATGGTTAGAATCAACTAGGTCTAGCACATTTCTTTTAAACGTCACACAGTCTTCTATTGAGTGCCCAGGTGCACCCATGTGGTATTCACAAACAACATTTGGATTATACCATGCCGGGTAAGGCGGACCAAGAGGCTTATAAGGTCGCGGACCTAATAATTGGGCTGTCAAAAGTTTATGGTACAATTCAGCATTTGTTAATCCAAAATTGGGCCATGGGCGACTATCCCTGGATTGGACATTTCTCCTCTCTCCATCCTGTCCATGCTTGTTAGGCCTGAACCCAAATTGTTGCTGTCTTTGATTCCTTCCCTCTACTTGATAAGGGACTTGAGAATTGGTAGCTGCTTGTCTTATAGGTTGAATATAGTTCACATTCCCTTCTTTCTTTTTTTGGTCATAGTTCTTTCGTGAACTACTTTCAGCTTGAGAAGTGGCTATCTTCCCTTCTCGTATGTCTATGTCAATCCTTTCCCCAATTACCATTAAATCAGCAAAATCAGTGACATGTGTTCCTATCATGTGTTGGTAAAATGGCTTAGGCAACGCACGGATGAAGTACGAGCAAAGTTCGGAATTAACCATTGGAGGTTGCACTTGCGAAGCCACTATTCTCCATCTTTGAGCATATTCTTTGAATGACTCTAATGATTTCTTGGTCATTGCTTTCAATTGTTCTCTGGTCGGAGCAGTATCAAGATTGAACTTGTATTGTCTCATGAAAACATCCACAAGGTCTTTCCATCTTTTAATCTTGGTTTGGTCTAGTTGCATGTACCAAGTCAATGCGGCTCCAGTTAAGCTTTCGGGAAAGAAGTTTATCAGAAACTTCTCATCTTGTGACCATATGGACATCTTTGTGCAATAGGCCCTCAAATGATAAATTGGGTTACTTGTACCATCATATTTATCGAAGCTTGGCATCTTGAATTTCTTGGGAACATCGATTTCTGGGGTCAAACATAATTCTTTCAAGTCTAAGGAACCCCACGTGTTTGATCCTTGAAGAGCCTTCAATTGATCTTTCATCTCTCCAAGTTCTTCTTTCAACTCCTTCTCTTTATGTAGCACTTGTGGGATTTGGAACATGTAGGCATGATCTTCCCCAGGACCATCCGGTATGTTAAAGGCCCCTATCCCAGAATCTTGTTTCTCTGGCGTGGGTACTTTAGGATCTGATCCTCTGTTTGGCTCAATTGTTCTATTAACCGCGTTCTCATCTGCTACGGTATTTCGTGGTGGGTTATCATCACTCCGTCCTTTTAGAGCCTCTGTTAGCAATTTCATCATGTCACTTATTTCAGCCATTTTAGACTCCACTGCAGACATCCGATCATTTAAGGTTGCTGACTCATTCCCGGTTGAATTTTCCATTGCACGACTACGCGATCGTGTGTTGTATGCTCGAGTGGTGGGAATCTGGTCAACCGAGTTTTTCTTTCGAGGCGCAATGTTGGCTTACCTGTGTAACATAATAATTAATTTTAATAAGTTTTACCTTTACGTTTGTTTCGTAAGATATCCAGCATTGTGTAGACATAAGGGTTTCGCGACACTGGCACCCTTTAAATTCCTCCAGAAATTTATTACTTCATAGGGGATTTAAAGTTGACCATTGAATTAGATGGACATTGGATCCTATCGAAATTCAAGGTCTTAAGAAAATGATGGTAGTACAAATTAATCAATAATTTCACAACCACAAAGCGTCATGTAGATCCTCATACAATGATTCAAATGTTAATACAGATTTAGAACTTCGTCACGCTATTGAGTTCTTTTACAATTTCATTGCACAAATGGAAGAATTCAACAATCTCTAATGGAGTTCCCCCAGGGAGAACCATGCCTTCAGCTTGCTTAAATGCTCTTGCAAATTCTGGAATTTTGTCATTAGCCAAATCAATTATCTGCCTACATTTTAACATCCACTCTTTGGTTTCTTCTGTTTGATCAAGGCAAAGTGATTTCCACTCTTCTAAGACTTCATTTTGTTGATTAAGCCTCTGAACAAAGTTCTGTGCTGTCTCAGCTGCACTTCCTCTCACCCTGGCTAGTTCATTCACCTTCCTTTCCAATTGTCTTGTGAGCGTATTGATTTCTTGCTGCATCTCCTCAATGGGTCTGATGTCTTGTAATTCCTTCTTCAATGCATCATTTTCCCTGACTATTTTGACAAGTCTTGCTTTAGTACTTTGAACTTTGTTATCACTAGTTTGCACTTCCCTTTTCAGTTTGGCATTTTCCTTTTTCAATTTCTTAGTCTCAGGTGTTTCTTCAAGGTTATGCCCTTCTCTTTCCTTTGCTAGCTTCCTCCGTAACTCAACGCATTCGTTTTGGTATTTTTCCAATTCTTCTTTATTCTTAGACTCTAAGTTAGCAAGCGCTTGTAACTCATTTTCCTTCATCTTCAAGCATTCAACCAATTGGCCATTAATCTCTTTCAAGTCATTGCCTAACAAGGGATTTTGAGGATGAAATAAAGGATTTGCTCCTTGAATCATACTCTTCAGCCAAGTAGTGTATTCTGGACTTGAGTTTACTACACGTATCCCTAGCTCAATCTTCCCTTTGTAACCTATCTCTTGCCATGCTTCTTTGACATTCTGGCTTAATAACTTTGTCCCATCCTCCTTATGTAGAAAGTATAACTCCTGCACCTCTTTCTTAGAAGGAACATTTTGCTTATAGGCCAGTTGCCTTAACGCTAAGGAAGGGTTATAGTTGATACACCCTCTGGGTCCCATTAAAGGCACATTCGGAAAGTCACCACAATGGTAAATAACCTCCTCTTTCCACCACCAGTCTAGTTTCCATAAAATGGAACTTTCTTTAAGTTCTGAGAAGGTTCTTTTCCAATCCATGTAGCTCATTCCGTCAATCATGAATTGGCCTTTAAAAGACATGAGTGGATTACTGTCTGAGTCGTTCTTCTTTCTGAAAGGAAGCGTCTTTCCATAAAGGTGGCCAAGCATCCATAAATCCAGTAATGCAATACAACAATTGACCTTTCCTTTCCCTTTATCGTGACATTGAGTTAAGGTCAAGTACGTTTCTGCCAAGATTGCTGGTACTGGATTCACGTTATGGTATTCCACCATTTGGAATACACTAATGGCTCCTAAGTCAATTATGCCAATTGATGATGGAAACAGGATTATTCCATATATGCATAAGGCAAAGACTCTGCAAAATGTAACCCAAGCTCTTTTCCTGCCAAAACTTTCAAGTGGGCTTCTACATCAGCTCTTGAGATTCCCTCTGTTTGTCCTGGGCAAACCATTCGTACCTTTTCCTTAGGAATTTCCAAAATTTTCGCTATCGTGCCTCGAGATGGTAAATATCCAGGATAAAGATATACTGCCATGTTCTCCTTAAGGGGTTCTCAAAATTTCTCCATATTCTTCCAAAGTCGGTGCCATTTGGAAGTCTTGAAATGTGAAACATCTTAACGAGGCATCCCAATATTGGCTTAATTCCATTATTGCATCATTATGTATTGTGACTGGCAGAAGATCCAAGATATTTCCATATTTCCTTTTAAAATCTTGCATAATCTTCCCTTTGATATGACGGCTCAACTCAATTAAGGTTTCCAGCGGCTCAACTTTTACAGATAATTTGATCCCTTTTCCCTGATATAATTTTCCAGTATGACTTAGATTTGTACTACCTTCGAGTGCCATTTATCCCTTATGCCAATTTCACAAAGATTCTGGATAACTCACGGTTCCTGTTAATCAAAACAAAGGTTAATAATATACAATTCTCATAATTTTAGCAAGCTATCTGGCTCACTTTTTTGAAAACCCTCTCCTCTAGATACTTATTGCACCATAGGGAGATGGAGTAAACAATTAATGGACGAGAGGCTTAAATCCCCTACATGATTAATGTTGAAAGGTTTAGCCTTACAATCTTATTTTTGAGAAAGGAGAAAAAAATGATAAAAATGATTTTGATAATAATATGCAAGAAAAAAAAAATCCATTCTCTCCTCAATGTGCTTATTGCCCCATAGGGAGAAAGGGATTAATTAGCCTATGTGCAGCTAAAACTGACACATGGCTAAAGTCTCAATGACAAGAGAAATTATTTAATTTGTGGTTTTTTTTTAAAAAATGCGAATACTTTATGATGACATGCTATGACAATGATGCAATAAAAGATCAATACTCTCATCCTGCGTCCTATTCAGGGAGACTTAAGTTCATAATCGGGTGCTCACTAGAATGGTTGGCTACTAGCTGTTGTCTGAAACGTGTAATTCACGGGTGGATGTATATTCCTAAAAGGCTCTCAAGATGCCCTCACACAAAGGTGAAGACCTTACTTAATAATCTTGGCCCTCCAAGAACATAAGCTCTACAGGGACCAAATTTATTAGGCAAGTAACAGCTTGGGTGAGGTATTCATGGTAACCTCCGAGAGTTCAAAAACTCCACAGGGAAACCACTACTAACCTCTACTAACCTATAGTACTCACAGAGACCCCTAAAATATGTGTGTGTCAAATTGTGTAAGTGTATAGTGTGATGAGAGCATGCAAGCATGCTATCTTATTCTCATATGCTACCCAACATAAAAGTCATCTATCTTAAGGTTTATTCCGCATGTTATCTACCTTAAAAACATGTTATAAAATACAAAAGGAAAGAGAAAAGGGAAAAAGAGAAAGGAACAAAGGACACATAAATTTAAAGGGATAATAAAGATAAACCATATTATATTTTGAGCATAACAGACTTATAGGCTTGACTCTCTAACTCTCCCCAGTGGAGTCGCCAACTGTCGCACCCGGAAAAAAAATGCGACGCGGACGGCGCGCGAGCGGAGGTCCCGGCCTTCGCGGCGGGAACCGGATCGAACGAGGAGTCGCCACCAAGATTTTGAGGTAAATCTCGGGAAACCGATTAATGGAAGATAAGGGTGATCTGCGAAATCAGAGAATAGGTTCGGGAGTCGGTTGAGTGTGGGGAAGGTGTTAGGCACCCCACAACACCCGTTCGTGAGAACAGTTACCTGAAGTTTGTTGTGCTCTATTAATATGGTTTTAAAATTATTTTAATTATCCCTTTTATATTCATGTGTTTGATATAAAAATAATGATAATTGAGTGAGAAATGTTTATTTATTTACGAGAGAGGAAGGACTTGACTCAGAATCTGACTCTGAGGCCTACGTACCCTGTGATGGGGATCAAAGTCCACGTAGTTCGGGCTTAAAAGTTTGTCGGTAAAAATATTTTTTGAAGAGAAATTAATTAGAAATAACTCACCATTTTGCAAATAAAATAATTTCTGAAATTTTGATATGTGTGTTTTAAATTGCAAAAGGTAATTTAATTTTAATTATTTTCTCAATTTTTGAATTTTGAATAAAGAAATGAAAGGGTTTAAAATTATCTTTCTTTATATTTTATGATTAGAAATTTAATTGCAGTACCTGTAGAACCTTATTGATTCATACGGTAATGCAATTGCTCTAAGTATTTGCGAAGATTCTGAAATCTCACATGATAGAAGAGTTTGGCAATTCAATTTATTTATTTATATTCTTATGTACATTTTAAGTATCAAAAATATATTTTAAGTATGTATATACATGTTTTGAAGAATTTTAATCATCATACCTGCAAAGCCTTATTGACTTATACGGTAATATGATTATCCTAAATATCTACGGAGATTCTAAAATCTCACACGAGACAGGAATTAAATTTAATTAATTGATTTAATTAATTATATAATATATATGTATATATATTTTAAAAACTAAATCGTTATATCCGCAGAGTCTTATTGACTCACACGATAATACAATGATCTTAGAAGCCTACGGAGATTCAAAAATTTCACGTGGCTAAAAGATATAATTGGTAAATATGGTTACAATTTAAATACATTTAATTTGGTTAATTAAGTTTCTTAAATTGTATATTATATGATTATTTGCAAAAATTACTTATTTATTACAAAAATTGAAAATCACTATATCTACGAGGACTTACTGTCCCACATAATAATGTGACTAATTTAAGTTCCTACGAAGATTCTTAAAATCTCACATGGAACTTAAATATTTAGTATAAAGAAAGAGTTAATTTTAATAATGGGCCTTTAGAACCCGTATAAGTATCTGCAAAATTGATCCCCATACTTGTAAAATCTTATTGATCTTTATGGTATGAGATCATTTTAAATTCCTGTAAAAATTCTCAAAATCTCCTGTTTTAAGTTTTAAAAAAAAATATATATGTGCTTAGCATATGAACATAAAAATAAATACGTATATTCGAGACTTATTCACCTGGATATAAAATTCATAGAAGCAATTAATAAGGTGTGAACTAACCTTACACACGCTCCCGCGAT